CACAAGTTGACAAAATTGATGAAACTTGGGGAGAATTCTCTTTCCTCAGAATTACTCAGCTGTGGGGGATCTCCTTTCACGACTTGTGTTAGTTGATCAAATACACTATTCCACTTTGGATAAGGAAATTGGCCTGTAGCCAACTCATACAATGTGATCCCCAAACTCCAGACATCAGAGCGGACATCATATCCTTGTAGAGATGCACTAGGGTCTATTCTTTCAGGTGCCATATATGGCCTACACCGAGCATCCCTTGTCTTGGCAATGGAGTCCACGAGCTGTCCACTGATGCCAAAGTCACAGAGTTTAATATTTCCACTTCTATCCAGAAGAATATTTGAAGGTTTGATACCTCTGTGAATAATTTTCAAGTTTTCTTTTAAGTGGTTTAGTACTTTCACAGTTGCTAAAGTGATTTTGCCTAAAATTTCTTCTGGAATAACATCATCTAATACACTATATACATATTTGTAAAACTTATCAAACGAGGTAGACATGAGTTCCATACAGATCCAACAGTCACCCTCTCTGAAGAGTGCACCATAAAACTGAACAATGTATGGGCAGTCACTACTCCGCATTACTACATCCAAATCCATAAGTAGTTGCTTTTGTTCTTTTTCATCCACCGTTGACCGTATTCTATGTGTGGGTTTTGGACTCCTGTTGTATTGGGATTCAGAGTAAACCTTGCTGTAGATTTGACAGGTGGGTTTGCAAAATTCAACTTCAGTGCTTTGCGTTTACCCTGCATGCTGCTGACGGCCGGGTGACCCGGCGCCGGGGACCCTATCGGGCCCGGGGTCCCGCTGCCGCTGCCGCCCCCGGAGCCGCCATTGTTGGGAGTGAGGAGCCGAGCGGCTGCAATGCAGCAAGCTCCTGTAGTTATCTTTCTTAGTTGCGTCTTTCCCTAGTTTTGGTATCAGTATAATACTTGCCTCCAGGAATGATTTTGGGAGAACTCTTTCCTTTTCAATTTCACTGAAGAGTTTGAGGAGTGTAGGAATTATATCTTCTGTGAACTTCTTGTAGAATTCAGCTGTGAATCCATCAGGACCTGGACTTTTCTTTGTCGGCAGGCTCTTTATTACATTCCATATTTCAATGGCTGTTATTGGGTTATTGAGAGTTGTTATATCTTCTTGATACAGTTTTGGTAATTTGTACCTTTCTAGGAATCTGTCCATTTGGTCTGTGGCTTCTATTCTGTGAGCGTAAAGATACTCAAAGTAGCTATTGATAATCTTCTGAATTTCCACTGGGTCTGTAGTAGTTACACCCTTTTCATTCTTTATTGCTTATATTTGAATTTGTTCTTTCCTCTTTTTGATGAGGTTGGCTAGGGGCTTATCAATTTTATTTAATCTTTCAAAGAACCAGCTTTTTGATTCGTTAATTCTTTGAACTGTTTTCTTCATCTCAATTGAATTAATTTCCACTCTAATCTTTATGATTTCTTCCCATCTTTGGGCTCTGGGTTTGGTTTGCTCTTTCTTTTCTAGATGTCAAAGGTGCAGCATTAGGGTGTTTATTTGTTCCCATTCTGTTTTCCTAATGTGTGAGTTCATAGCTATGAATTTCCCTCTGAGAACTGCTTTCGTCACATCCCATAAATTCCGATAAGTTGTGGATGAATGTTCATTGAATTGTAGATATTGTTGAATTTCTTAATTTCTTTTTTTTTAATATTTATTTATTTATTTATTTATTTAGTGGAACTGGGGATTGAACTCAGGCCCTTGCACTTGCCAGGGAAGCGCTTATTCCACTGAGCCATCTCCCCAACCCCATGTGATCTATTTTAGAAAATGATCCGTGTGCAGCTGAAAAAAATGTGTATTCCGCTGTGGTTGGGTGGAACACTCTGTATATGTCTAAGTCCATTTGTTCCAAGCTCTGGTTCAGTTGTGCTACTTCTTTGCTAATTTTTTGTCTGGTTGATCTATCTTTTGAGGATAAGGGGGTGTTAAGGTCTCCTGTTAAGATTGTTGTATTGGATATTAGATTTTTCATGTCTATTAAGGTTTTGCCTTATACAGTTGGGTGCTCCTGTATTTGGTGCATACATATTTATGATTGTTATTTCTTCCCCTTGAATTTTTCCTCTAGCTAGTATATAGTGGCCTTCTTTATTTTGTTTGATCATTCTTGGTTTGAAGTTGCAGGCTAGTCTTAAACTTACAATATAGCTTATGTTGGCCTTGAACTCATGGCAACCTTCCACCTCAGGCTCCAGAGTGCTAGGATTACAGATATGCGCCACTGTACCTGGCTTCAGTATTATTTCTTTCCCGTTGGGGTTCTGTTCAGAAAACACTTGCCTATGCCTAGTCTTCAAGACTTTTACCTATTTTATCTTCCAGCAAATTAAATGTTTCTGTTTTATTTTTTTATTTATGAGAGAGAGAGAGAGAGAGAGAGAGAGAGAGAGAGAGAGAGAAAGAGTGTGTGTGGTGTGTGTGTGTGGCCAGCTCAGCCCACCAGGGGGCGGGGCTGGCTGGCATGTGGTGCTGGGGGATTGAACCACGGTCCCTGATGCTTTGCTAAGCTAGTTCCAAGTAGGTGCTTTAGACCACTGAGCCATCTCTCCAGCCCCAATGTTTCTGTTTTAATATTTAGATCTTTGTCTGTTTATTTAAACAGAATTATGTGCCACTGATCATTATACTGGTCAGACCAAGAAATTATAGACCCAAGCCAGATAGTATATTTGAGGTTCTAATTGCACTTAATTCAGGATTTATTCTTGGGCCTCAGTTATTTCATCCATAAACCAGGACCAATAGTGTTTATGTCTGCTTAGGACACATGATCTCCTGTGGTTTGAACTGATATATTTGAGATACAAATCTGGAAAAGGAGGGAAAAGGTGCCAGCTCTCTCTCTCTCTCTCTCTCTCTCTCTCGCTCTCTCTCTCTCTCTCTCTGATACTAGGGATTGAATCTAAGATATTTATACTGAGCTGTATCACCAGCCCTTTTTTGTTTTTTGATATAAAGTCTTCCTAAATTGCTGAATTGTTCAATCTGGGCTCAAATTTGTGATCCTCTTGCCTCAGTTTCCCAGAATTCTGGGATTACACATATGTGCCACCATGCTAAGTTTGTAGCCAGCATATTTTATATGCTAAAATAACCTTGCCTGTGATATCAGCTCAGGATAACAGAATAAAAGTCCTATAGACCTATTTCATCTATGAATATAAAAACAAAAGTCCTCAATAAGATAGACTTAATGTAAAAATATATATTTAATGCAGTGCAAATAAGCAATAGCTTATTCAGGGAAAGCAAGTGTTTCAAAGTTGCAAAATCTATCAACATAAACAAGGCAAGGTGGGAAACTGAGACCTGAGGATTGCAAGTTCAACCCCAGCCTGGAAATCATGAAATTTAGCAAACAAACAAAAAAAAACCAAAGCAAAAAAAAAAAAGATTTATTTCCACCAATGTAATTCATCACATAAATAGAAAAATTATATGGCTATTTCAATAAATAACTTTAAAAAAAACTTTCATGGGCTGGGGATATGGCTCAGTGCAATAAGCACTTCCCTGGCAAGTGCAAGGGCCTGAGTTCAATCCCTGGTTCCGAAAAAAAAAAAAAAAAATCAATTAATAACTTTATTTGTTTGTTTTGTTTTCTTGAGGCAATCTCTCCAGAAATTTTCTGCTAGTGCCAGGGATGGAAGCTAGGGCCTTGCACTAGAGCACCCTATCACTGAGCTATACCTCCAGCTCCACTATATCCACTATTTCTAGTTTTCACTTTCATTTGACAAAGTCATAAAAATCTTGAGCAATACTCAAGGAAGTAAAAGAAATAACTAGTGAAAAAAATTGGAAAGGGTAACGTAAAACTATTTTTGCAAATGACATAATTGCCTATATAGAAAATCCAACAGAATCAATACAAAGAATCAGAACAGCACGTATGTTCAGGAAATGGCTATACAAGATCAACCAACACAAAAAACAAACAAAAAAAGATCAAGCAACGCAATCAAAAACAAACCACTGGCTGCCGTCTGCGTCTCGCCATGTCGGGCTCCCCAGTAAAGCGGCAGAGAATGGAGTCCGCACTGGATCAGCTCAAGCAGTTCACCACAGTGGTGGCTGACACGGGCGACTTCCACGCTATTGATGAGTACAAGCCCCAGGACGCCACCACCAACCCATCCCTGATCCTGGCTGCAGCACAGATGCCCACCTACCAAGCACTGGTGGAGGAGGCTGTCACCTATGGGAAGAAGCTGGGCGGGTCACAAGAGGACCAGATTAAAAATGCTATTGATAAACTTTTCGTGTTGTTTGGAGCAGAAATACTGAAGAAGATTCCAGGCCGTGTATCCACGGAAGTAGATGCAAGACTCTCCTTTGATAAGGACGCCATGGTGGTCCGTGCCAGGCGCCTCATCGAACTGTACAAGGAGGCTGGAATTGGCAAGGACAGAATACTCATAAAGCTGTCGTCCACCTGGGAGGGTATCCAGGCTGGAAGGGAGCTGGAGCAGCAGCACGGTATCCACTGCAACATGACGCTGCTCTTCTCCTTCGCCCAGGCGGTGGCCTGTGCTGAAGCGGGTGTGACACTCATCTCCCCCTTCGTGGGGCGCATCCTGGACTGGCATGTGGCAAACACAGACAAGAAAGCCTATGAGCCTCTAGAGGACCCTGGAGTCAAGAGTGTCACCAAAATCTACAACTACTACAAGAAATTTGGTTATAAGACCATTGTCATGGGTGCTTCCTTCCGCAACACGGGTGAGATCAAGGCTTTGGCAGGCTGCGACTTTCTCACCATCTCGCCCAAGCTCCTGGGTGAGCTGCTCAAGGACAGCAGCAAGCTGGTGCCCATGCTCTCAGCCAAGGCAGCCCAGGCAAGTGACCTGGAGAAGATACACCTGGATGAGAAGTCCTTCCGCTGGCTGCACAATGAGGACCAGATGGCTGTGGAGAAGCTGTCTGAGGGAATCCGGAAGTTTGCTGCCGACGCTGTGAAGCTGGAGCAGATGCTGACTGAGAAAATGTTCAGTGCAGAGAACGGGAAGTAGCATGCATCAGAGCGCAAGGACCCCAGGCCTGTGCTGCCTGTGACTGGAGTCCAGCTGTGCAAGACTGGGATCGCAGTCATCAGCATTCAGGACGGGGGTGGATCACAGGCTTCTGGTTTTATGTAAAACTGCCTAACGCATTAAAGCAGTTGCTTTTCCTATGTGCTTCAAAAAAAAAAAAACAAAACAAAACAAAAAAAAAACAAACCACTAGTGTATTTTACTATACCAGCAATAACCAGCTAGAAAATAGAACAAAAAATGACATTTCATTTGCATCAGTGACAAAAATCATAAAGAATCTAAGAATTAATCAAGTTGTCATAAAATCTCAGGGGAGCAGGGCAGGTTGGCACATTCCTATAATCCCAACACTCTAGGAGGCCGAAGTAAGAGGATCCCAACTTCGAGCCAAGACTGGAAAATTTAGCAACATAATGAGATTGCCTTGTCTCAAAATAAAAAGTGGTAGGGATGTAGTTCTGTGAGAAGGACCTGGGTTTAGTCCCCAGTACTGGGAGAAAAATTTCAATGGAAAAATTTTTTTCTTTTCCTTTTTTGGTATTACTAGGGATTAAATTTAGGCAAATGCTCTACCACTAAGCTACACCCTCCAGGCTTTATTGGGGTTGGGGGAAGAAAGGATGGAAAAAGATGGAGAAATGACAGAAAGAGAGCTGGGGAAAACAATATAGAGAAAGCTAAGGTCAGGTGAAGCCTCCCTCTCCAGATAGGAGGAAAGGAACTGCTAAACAACTGCAGCGCGTTTATGTATACATTTAGAAAGTTGATGTCAGGTGAAACCCCTTGTCTAACAACTAGCTGGCTGCTCAGGCCCTATATCTGGGGCTAGAACATCTGTTCACCTGGGGCACTTCATGCCCTAAGGGCATTTCTTGGACATTCCAAGGAATGTCCTCAGCCCAATCGCTAGCTCAGCTGCTCCAGACAGTTTGTTTATTTACTTATTTTAATCTATTTTTGAGTACTGGGAATCAAACTCAGGACTTCCCACTTGCCAGGCAGGCACAGTGCCACAGAGCTATATCCCTGAACCATATTTTTGTCTTTTTGAGACAGTTTTTCACTATGTAGTTCAGGCCAGCCTTGAACTCACTCTGTAGCCCAGGCTGGCCTCAAACTCACAATGGACCTCCTGCCTCAGCCTCCCAAGTGGCTGAGGTTACAGGTGTATGCCACCGCATCTGGTTGGAAAAAGACAACTCAACTTTAATGCTCATAAAGAACATAAAAGATAACTTCAATAACTACAGAAACAGACCATGTTCAGCAGATGACTTAATATTATGAAGATATGAAATGTTCCTAAAATTACTTATAATTCAACATGCTACCAATAAAAATCTAATGACTGTTATATAATACTGAGGCATGAGCCCAGGGCCTTTGTTCTGAGCTACAGCCTCAGCCCTTCTTAATTTTTTTTTAATAATTTTATTTATTTAAGTGTGTGTGTGTGTGTGTGTGTGTGTGTGTGTGTGTGGCCAGCTCAGCCCACCAGGGGGCGAGGATGGCTGGCATGTGGGGGATTGAACCGCGGTCCCTGTGCTTTCGCTAAGCTTGTTCTAAGTAGGTGCTTTAGACCACTGAGCCATCTCACCAGCCCCAATTTTTTTTTTTAATTTGGAAACCAGGTCTAACTAACTAAATTGCTAAATTGTCCCAGCTGTGCTCCAATGTGTGATCCTCTGTCCCCAATCTCCCAGAGTACTAGGAGTACAGGAGTGCATCACTCTACTAGCTTTACAGACCTTGATAAATTTACCCCTAGCTTTGTATGGATCAACAAAAGACCACAAACGTTAAGCAGATATTGAAAAGATAGAGTAAATTTTTAGAATGGGTCTTGCCATTCTAAAAATTTAAAATTACTGCCAGATGTGGTGGCACACACCTGTAATCCCAGCACTGGGAAGGCTTCGGCAGGTGGCTCACTACAAGATCAAGACCAGTTTGAGCTACATAGTGAGTTCAAGGCCATCCTAGAATATACATCAAGATCTCAAAAAGAGATCACAAAAACCAACAACAGTGGTATCTGCGCAAGAACAGACAATTACACTGATGAAACAGAATATAAATTTGTAGTCAGACACAAGTATACATCAGAATTTGGAATATTGTAAATGTGGCTCGCTAGATGGAAAAATAAATTGGATCTTTAACACCCCAACCAAGAATGAACTCTTTGAAGTTCAGAATAACTTCCATGTGAAGAATTAAACTGTAGTCACTGAATAAAGTGTGAAAAAGTCAAGCCTGGTGGTACACACCTATGATCTCAGCTACACATGTATCTGAGGCAGGATTGCAAGGTTTTTGTTTGTTTGTTTGTCTGAATGTATTTGATACAGTGTCTCACTATGCAGCTCCAACTCATGATCTCCCTGTTTTCAGCCTCCTAAGAGCTGGGATTACAGTGTACACCAAGCATGCCCAGACTCTGTGGACGGCTTAGCTTGCCCTGGGGTGCAGGTCCCTTGCAGCATGTGGTACCAAGGATCAAGCCTTAGTCACTGTGTTTGCCTAAGCAGGTGCTTAGTCTGCTGAGCTATCTCGCCAGCCCAGGATTGCAAGTTTGAATCTAGCCTGGACTTAGTGAAACCCTGTCTCAAAATAAAATTTTAGGAGCCGGGGAGATGGCTCAGTGGAATAAGTGATTCCCCGGCAAGCACAAGGGCCTGAGTTCAATCCCTGGTTCCGCCAAAAAATAAAAATAAAAATAAAATTTTAAGTAAAAGACTGAGTTTGTAACTCAACAGGAGAGCACTTGCCTAGCGTATATGAAGACCTGGGTTCAATGATCAGTACCACACATACCAAAACAAGTAAAAGAATATCTTTGTGATACAGAAATAGGTAAATAAGTATACAAATTTCCAAAATCATGAACTATAGGAAAAACGTGGTCATTTTGATCACGTTCAATTAAGAATTTCTAAGCAGCTGGGCATGGAGGCACACACCTGCAATCTTATTACTTAGGCTGAGGCACAAGGATTGCCTTGAGTTTGAGACCAGCATGGGCTACACAATCAAGTTCAAGGTCAGCCTTATCTACATAGACCCTGTCTCAAAAAACACACACAAAAAAAATTCTAATCAATGAATTAACACCAAGGAAAAATAGGCAGATGATAAGATGGGAAACGCTACTTGGGATGTCCAAATCTGATAAGGAATTAGTATCAGTTTAAAAAGTCTTGCCAGTTGGCTGGTGAGATGGCTCAGTGGTCTAAAGCACCTACTTAGAACAAGTTTAACAAAGCACAGGGACCACGGTTCAATCCCCCAGCACCACATGCCAGCCAGCCCCGCCCCCTGGTGGGCTGAGCTGG